AGAAGGAACTGAAGGGACAGTTGCTGCACATGCCTGGTAGAGGCACCATGTGTGCAGTCTGCTTCACGTGCACAGCATATCGGAGAGCACGGCTACCAAAAATCTCCAACTAGGCATGCAGTGGCACCCAAGACACCTAAGGTGGAGCACCCACAGGGACACTCCTTGAAGAACTGTTTGAATAGTCTCTGGAACCACGTAATTTAACTACCATTTTTTCTTGCCTTACTCTTCCTGTGTTTAAGGCTCAGCGATGGTATCCATCTTCCAGAGCATAAAGCACTTTACATTTCTCACTTTTGACTTTAGGCTCTTAGATTTTTAGAGCAAAATTTCAAATTCAGAGTCAAAGTGACAGTTTTTAGCATAAGCCCTCCCTCAAGGATGGTGATGATATACATAGACCATATACATAGGTGCAGGGTGAAGTGTACACAAAAGTTTCATCAGAAAATGAAGCTTTCAGACCGCACTAACTTGTTTTCTGTGTTAGAGAAACACCATGAAATACCAAGACTCATTTGTTACTTACTAAAACTTGGGTCATTTGTGTTTATGTGTACATTAACATTCATATGTGCCACTTTCCATCCCCCTAACAGAATTTTTTTTAACCCCCCTTTAAAAAGGGACTATATAGGAAAGATTGTTATTTTCATATTATTTGCTTTACCTTGGATTAAAAATATTTTTAAAGTCAGTTATTAATCCAAGTTGTTATAAACCACATCTTCCATACAAACAAACAAAAAATCCACAGTGGACTGAATGAAAAAATCCATCCCAAAGATGAAGATCAATTTGCTTTAAGGGTCTGAAGATTCAACTATATAAATTTTTATGGCATGGTGACATACTGTAAGAAATATGAAATGCACAAGCAGATAAGCCTACTTGATCTTTCTCACAGATTCTATATAAACAAAATATTGTGGCAAGGTCCTCATCAAAGCTCTTTGCCCTGAGGCCCCTTCTTCATCCCCAGATGAAGAGACTTTCTGGTGCAATCACCCATGCCTTTTATTGTCCATGAACTTTCACACCATTTTCTATTTACAGAGCTTTGTTCACAGCAAACTCAGCCAGCCTCTCCTTCTGCCTGGGGAGCACACTCAGCCACACTCTTGCTCCTCCCCCTCCACTTCCCTCTGGCTGCCTTATCTAGCTTTCTGGCTAATGAGGTTCAGAGCTGCTTCCCATTAGCCCCTCAAGCATGGGTTTGGTCAGCTGGCTTCCATTACCCTTTTTAACCAGGCTGTAGTGGCAGAGTTTTGGCTTAACCAGCAAACTGTCACAATATAGAATGACAACTATATTTTTGTTTAATGTCAGGTCTTACAATTAGTCATCAATTTATGCTAACACTTCATACTGATCGACTGATACAGGGTAAATAAGAATTAAAATGCACATGATATTTCTTATATAAGAAAGAAAGAAGCCACAGTCTTTTGGATGGCTCATAAGAATAACCTGTTTCTTGACATGGAAATTTGAGGTCCAATTTGCAATTAACTTTTAAATAAATAAAACCCCCCACAACATTTACAAAATTAAGAACTCAAATATTAGCAAACTATTCACTGTTGTGAGTGTTCTCACTACTGACATTGCTAATCACCTACAGGCAGTCCCCGGGTTACGTACAAGATAGGGACTGTAGGTTTGTTCTTAAGTTGAATCTGTATGTAAGTCGGAACTGGCGTCCAGATTCAGACACTGCTGAAACTGACCGCCAGTTCTGACTTACATACAGAATCAACTTAAGAACCCCAGGCGTCCCCAAGTCAGCTGCTGCTGAAACTGATCAGCAGCTGATTCCAGGAAGCCCGGGGCAGAGCAACTCTGCTGGCACCGGAGCAGCGAGAAAGCCCCGTTCGTAAGTGCGGATCCGACGTAAGTCGGATCCGCGTAAGTCGGGGACTGCCTGTATATGCAATAACATGTCACTTACTTTTGAGATATTTTCTGCAATCTGGTAGCTAAATATTTATTTAGTTTTAATTTATTTATTCTTCTTTGAAAACCATGTTCTTTCGAAATCAGTTCACCTTATCGATAATTTTAAGTTCTGCTAGTGATTAAATTTGTATCTAGTTAAAGGGATGGGGACCTATGGCCCAGCATGCGGCATGTCTTGATCCGGCCCACGAGGCTTGGGCTCTCTCTTCCCACAACAGAGCAAGCCAGAGCTGGCTTGTCCTGCTATGGAGTCCGGAATCCCAAGCGTAACAGGCTGGATCAATGCAAGTTACAGGCTGCATCGGGCCCACGGGCTCTGCCTAGCAGGGGAGAGGAAGTGGTTCTTCATTCTGATGTCATCCCCTACTCCCTCTGGCTGGGGAAATGGCAGCTCAGAGAAGCTCTGGTCATGTGCTCACATGCGGTTCTACCACAGGGGAATGGTCAGAGGCCATCTGGGGGACCACCAGCCATGCAACTCCTCCCCCAACACAGGGAAGGGTCAGGACCATTCCTCTTCACCTCTGCTCTACTCTTCCCTCTCTTGCGCTGTCCTCTCCCTGCCTCTCCTCTTCCCCCCAACCAAAGCAGCGCCGTGGACCAGCAGGGCTGGTGTCAGCAGTAAAGGTCCAGTCCCCCGCCCTCCTCTGCACTCGTCAGCAGAAGCAGGGGAAGTGGAACAAGGTAGCCCCAGCTGCTTTTCTCTCCCAACTACATCTTCTGAGGCTTTGCTCTGGCAAAGCCTCAGAAGCGCGGGAACCCCCCCGGTGCCCCTGGTCTGCTGGAGACGGTCTCCAGCAGACCAGGGGCACCGGAGCAGCTTACGAACGGGGCTTTCTTGCCCCGACTTCCGGGGCGAGAAAGCTCCGCTCGTAAGTGCGGATCCGACGTAAGTCGGATCCGCGTAAGTCGGGGACTGCCTGTACTGACTTTTTTGGAGCAATGTATGCCAAACCTTAAACACTTTAAAGAGATGTTTAGCATGTTAATGAAATGTGTATTTCCTCTTGTTGCATAATGAAATCTCCATAAATATATCCAAAAAAGCATACACTTTCCCCTCCAAGGAGGAGATTCTTATCAGAGCTCTTTTGCTCAAATTTTCTCTGATGAAAGATATTTTCTCTCTGGGGCATGACCCAAAGATTCTCAGAATTCTAAATATATATAAAAAAATGTTCCATCCCACTTGTGTAATCTTACGATTATTAACATTTCCACTGGAGACAAGCTATCAACCTTTTCAAAAGTTAGTCGTATAGAGCACTGTTTAAACATTTTTTTATACCAGGGATCAGCTTGTTTCCTTCCTAAACTATCAGGGAGATCTCAGGGACAAGAACCAGTCCATGGATCAGTTGTTGAAAAATACTGATTTGTCATGCACAACGCAAGATAAAACAAAGCTCTTGTAGACACAAAGGAAGGGACCAAGCCTGAAACATACATCTACAGAGTTCAAAGGATAGGTCTTCAGCATCTATTCAAATTTGGCTTGAAAAAGGTGAATTCCAGAACAGAGTGCAACCCAAAACACTTGCAAATTTAGATTTAAAAAAAAAAAAAAAATCAAAAGAAGTCAGTGAATTCCTCAACTGTCTTTATATGGGCTAATAATGTTTGAAATGTTACAAGAATTTAAGATATAGTCACCAGTTTAAAGCTAGAACTTCCATAAAGGAATGGGTTCATAGGTCTCATGTAACATCACTGTAAGGTAATTAAACTAAAACTGTTCAAAAAAACCTAAATCTAAAAAGCCTTTTTACAGCCCTAATTAAACATTTTTGGAAGATTAGTTATCAAATGAACAATTTCAAAAATGCTCTTTTTAAAGGTGCTTCATGAGAATTTAACTTCTTTTCAGGAAATTACATTCTAGGCTAAAACAAATTATCTGCAAACAAATTTATATACACAATAGTTGAGAAATTTTGTTACAGTAACAAATGTTATTAAATACTGGAATACACTGAGTAGCCCATCAGTCTGTACATGTACAACCAGTGGATAAACTGGCAGACATTTAACATGAAGTGAATACTTACACTTCTCCCATTGGGGCATATGTTGACCCTGTTACAGTAAATTCATTCAGAGAACAGCTATCTCCTTCTATTCTATCCAGAATAAATATCTGTAAGAAAAAAATGTTTTAATATAACCAAACACTAAAGCTTAATGGATTAAAATCAGTTTGAATTTGTAACGTATACACACACAAGACAAAATTTAAGAAGGAGCAATCAGTTAACAGAAAAACTAAGAGATAGGCACAGAAAGGATAGCTATCTATTCTAAAATTCATCCTAAACCACAATTTTTATTTGCTGTAAATATTTAACCATGTGTGCATGTAACACTACTTTGTTATGTAAGTCAGAGTTGTTAGCCTTTCAGCTGTTCGAAATAGTGGAGCAAGTTGATCCAAACGTCTAAAAGTGACTCGCAAAACTGAACTGTCTGACCTAGTCATGTGCACAGGTAAACTTTCTAATTTTAACAAAAGATCTTTCCGGAGGCATGTTCCTAGGTTTTACATTAAACTAGAAATAAATATTCTGTGAGCATTAAAAGCACAGTAGTCCCTAGGCAAAACCAAACCCATAACCAGTCTGAAGACCAGGGTGGATTTATCTGTACAGACCATATCAAGACAGACAAAAAAAAAAAAAAAATCAAAGTACTTTAGAGCAGTAAGATTTGCTTCTAGATATCAGAGACCAAGAGAATTTAGGTAAAGTCTGACTCAAAGGAAGTGACCCTTTTTACTATAGGAAGTGGTTTCCAGGGCATTTAGGTAACTCAAGAACCGCTAGTAATTACATTCCAGTGTATGTTTCACAGAGGAGAATAAACTATTATTTGAGGGAAGCAGACACCACCAGCTCAGTTTTCTGCCCCTTTTAATTCTCTTTTGTTTTTGTTACCACTGCAGAGAAGCCACAGGTATAACAACATCAGACAAGGGGTCAAAAATGGAATGCCTAGAGTTTGATATTCCAAAATAACACGATTTTTTATAAGCTACCCAGCTGACAAGACTCCTCATGATAGAGAAACAAGTAATAATATGGCACTGTGGGAAAATGTGCCTAATTGGTTATACAGGTTGAACCTCACTGGTCTGACACCCTCGGGACTTGATCAATCCTGAACTAGGGAAAGTCAATGCTGGCCTGGGGCTCCACTCTTGTCCAGCCCCCTAAGTCTTGGCCCTGCCCCCTGGTTTGTCCCTGTGTGCGCTCCCACAGAATCACCATCAATACTGGATCAGGGATGTTGCTAGATTATGGTGATTCAACCTGTATAATATATTGCATAACTGTCAGCATTATATGAACCAGACAACTTTCCCACTAAGTTTTTCTGCTGCATATGATAGAAACATGACACTGACTGGCTTTACTGTTTTTACTCTAAATAAATTAGTCATGTTTCAGTAATGCCTTGCTTTCACTATATCTACTCTATACTGCATTTTAGTTAAGCCTCTAACCTCATTTGTAGAAAAAATTGAAGTCTTAATAAGATAGTCAATAAATGTTCTTCATGATGGTTGAAAATTATACAAAACGCTTAAAATTCAGAAAGCAATGAAGGTAGGTGAATTGAAAAATCACTTCAGAGAATATAAATACTTCCATTGCATTCTAGTCAAAGATGCACATCAAGGGTAAACAAATTTGAAATGGCATCAGTCTGGAAAAAGTCCTAAATTGTTGTCACATTAACCTTTACATTCCTACAAACACATATAGGCTACAAATTCAGAAACAGCATGCTATAAATTTCACATGGAATTACCATGGGAAAGGCTTCTTGAAAAAGCTAAGCACAGTATCTCCTTAAATGAAGCCAGATGTAGCTGTACAGCTTGTTTGCCATACTTGTAGACAAGTTTCAGTTGGAAAATTTAATGATTTTTACTCTTCTGAAAACATGAACGAATCATCGTGCACAGGATCCAAACCACTTTGCTTTCTAAATATAAAAAAGGACTAATATTGCATCAAAAAAATCTTTATAGAAAGATATTTGGCATCTGAGTGATAAAATGATCCCCCTGAAGGCTAGGGCAGTTATGCAATTCTACTGCAAGTAACCACCTCCAGAATACTAATGAGTAGCTGTTTTGTCTTTAAGGTATAATACTACAATACTTAACTGTGTAGAACACAATCTGGTTAAAAAAAGGAAAAAATTGCCATTAATCAAGTGAATAAATCAACAGAACAATGTTTAAGAGTTTCTGGACTTTTTTGGGGGGGCAGGAAGGGAAGAGGTTCCCCAAATCCTTAATAGCACATTTGTACATTTAAAATTCTCGTCTTGTACTGTAACTTTGAATAGTATTTGAGGTCATGTAACACAGCCAGCATAGTGGCTTGACATCAGATAATCACTTCTCTTCTTAAAGGGTAGTTAAGGATCAGAAATGTATCCAATTGGAAAACACTGTTTCCAGTAAATTCCTGTTCAGAATTCTAATAGGGCTGTACAAAAGATTGGAAATTGAGCATGCAGCACAACAGTCCAAAGCTATGATATACTATTTTAAATCAACATCAAACTATTTTTTGAAGAACAAAACCGGTCAGTTGCTTTACTCTGCTATGTCTAGCATCAAAAGTGACAATGGTAATTGAATCTGTGAAGGATTACTTGAACTCTAGTCTACCAAATGACTTTCATAATATGGTGTACCTGCAATACTGCAGTGATTTGAAATATTCAAGTTTAAAGTTAAGGAAGGTGGGATAAAATAGATGGAGGATAGCCTTCCATAGGATCTGATGCTATATGGTAATGAAGACTCCTGTGCCCACCTGTGCCCCATTTATTATTCTACAACTTCCAACTTTAGAGCTGCAATGGTGGTGAATTATGGATCCCATTTTTGCTAGTAGTGCACACAGCTTCAGTGAGAAAGAGCTGATGAATTACAGAATTGGGGGTTAAAACTACAATGGGGATGAAGGACAATTTTAATAGGACACCAAAGTTACTGTGCTTGGTCACACACTGATCTTGCCCCTTTCCTCTTCATTTTCTTTGATTATCTACTAGAGTGTACATTTTGAGAGTCAGGACAGGGTTGGAAGCAATGATGCTCAGCATGAAGTAAATTAAAAAACAAACAAACAGCATACATCAAAGACAATATTTAACACTCTCTCTCACACTATACAATCTCCAACTGCCCGCCTTCATAAAACAACATGTCTATTCATTTTCCTTCTGAAATACAACCCATTCTACACTTCTGGATCTGTGGAGAGATTGTCCTAATGAATATGGCCTGGAAAACTGTGTGGCACATAACAGTTGAGACACAGGTGAAAAATGTTACCATCAAGTGAAAGTACAGCTATCTTTGGCCATAACAAAATAAAGAAAAGATTAAAATCTTAAACATAATGGGCTGTGAAAGCTAAACTAAAAGTGGAATAGCAATATAGCAAATAAAGCAAGATTCTGACAGCATAAGAGCAAAGCTAATCACACTGTTTCATATAAGAAAAGAATTTAGACAATATTTAATAAGAGAGCCTGTAGGGTGGGGAGGAAATGTGGACTAAATCAATTCACCATACCCTGCAAACTGACATCTGGTTGGTTGTGAGAGTACCAGTCTTATCAGAACAAATAACAGATGTGCAACCCAATGTTTCAACGGATGGCAGACTTCTAACAATAGCATTCTTCTTGGCCATTCTGCGGGTTCCTAGGGCCAAGCATGTGGTAATAACTGCAGGCAGACCCTCCGGGATAGCAGCAACAGCGAGAGCAACAGCAATTTTAAAGTAGTAGATAGCGCCTCGAATCCATGAACCACCATGAACTGGATCGTTGAAGTGACCTATGTTGATTATCCAAACAGCAATGCAAATGAGTGAGATGACTTTGGATAGCTGCTCTCCAAACTCATCCAGTTTCTGTTGGAGTGGTGTTCTCTCTTGTTCAGTAGCCACCATCTCATCACGAATTTTGCCAATTTCAGTGTTCACGCCTGTTGCTACAACCACTCCCATAGCTTTACCAGCAGCAATATTAGTACCCTAAAATGGAATTAAAAAAAAGGGGGGAAAAAGCTTTGTTAAGTTCTTCTGTGTCAACAATGAAGTAGGTCTGTTACAAACCAGATTCACAGATACCATTTCCTGCTAAGACATTAAGTCCCATTTGAAAGTTTGTTCTCTGATTTTGTCTAATTTAAGATGCTATGCTCATGTGGTTCACATATTTCACTGTTATCAGTTCTTGATAAGTTATTTTGGATTCTATTTTGACAGCCATTCTTTGTTAGGTCAGTAAGGGGGTATACATTAATCCTTAAAAGGGGCATGAGTTTTCTTAAGGAACATAAATATTTAAAATCCATATTACCCTAACACCATAAAAAAGTAATGTTAACTCAATATAAAGTCTGACATGTTACAAAACATATCAAGCATCAGTAAGTCTTAAAACCTTAAACAGACAAGACCAAAATGTTGCCACCCATAAATAACCACGTTATCATTTTAATACTATTTAACACTTGTGAATCAAAATCTACTTCTATATCCAGATTATACATTTGTATCTATAATAGCTATTTTTCTGATCAGTGAGGCACGGGGTACAGTACCATGTTACAAAACATATCAAGCATCAGTAAGTCTTAAAACCTTAAACAGACAAGACCAAAATGTTGCCACCCATAAATAACCACGTTATCATTTTAATACTATTTAACACTTGTGAATCAAAATCTACTTCTATATCCAGATTATACATTTGTATCTATAATAGCTATTTTTCTGATCAGTGAGGCACGGGGTACAGTACCTCTCCAGCCTGACCAAAACAGCTTCTGCCTGTTGGGGTGCCCTGGCCCACCACAGGCATGGGCTGTTACTCCAGCGGTTAACCTTAACTTCCAACCTCCGCCAGTTAACATACCCTGTTCCCGGTGTAGCCGCCTCCCATGATCATTGGGCAGCATGAGCCTGGCTGTTGGCAGCATATTTGATTAGAAACAATTGAATTCCAGGCACATCCCATTGTTCTGACATAACCAAACCCTGACCTTGCTGTAAGTTATGATAAGAAGAATCTGCATACCAAATTTGGTGGTTCTAGCTCTTTAGGAGGATTACTTGACCAAAGAGTCTCACGGACAGACTCTTTTAAATACAGTAAAACTCCATTAGTCCGGCAGCCAATGCTCTGGGACTTCTGATGGTCTGGCACCATCAGGAACCTGGAAGTCCTGGGGCAGCTGGACAGGCTT